AGTGCTTATGTCCTATCTTACGAATTTTCTCAGACTAGCTGTTTTACATTTTGTTTAGTTTCAAGTGCATGTGATGCACATATCCTTATTGCAAAGAACTCCTCTGGGAACCTGATGGTATTGTTCACCCTTACTCTCTTTTCAGAATGGGTGAACCTTCTCATCACCTATAGCTTCTCCTTGCAAGGAATGCTGTACATGTCAGCACCACGTACTTTTCCCCTAGCCTTTCTAAAATGAAAATCAAGCCATCTATGGATTCTTCTTGTTCCTTGCTTTTATGCCTGATGACTGTTTCTAGCCAAAGATTTGTTGTGTTGTGTTGCCGTGTGCACCACAGCTACTGAGCTATACCACATCAGCTTTATTTGGTAAGGGGGAGCGTAAAAACCCACTATACCTGCTTCACTAGGTATGAGTTAAAAGATTCATTAGCAATCACAGTAAGCTGAATATGAATGCACAGTAGTTTAACTGATTTTACTTAAAAGGACATTGCTGTAACTAAGAACAAAACGGAGATTTTCCTTTCCCTTTTGGGTTCTTTACTCTTTATGTTCCCCTTTACTTTTTTCTCTGGTTCTCCATATTCCAATCCTTCCTAATTTCTGCAGAATTATTCATGTCCTCTGTTGATGTTTGATCCTGCTGTGTATCTGCCTGCTGAGCATATCAATGTCTGCTGTTCTTTCAGCTTACTCATTACTGAGTTGATATTTTAATACAACCCTAAATAAAAATGATCTATTCTTTCTCATTGAGGGCTCCCCAGACACTAATAAATTTTCTTTTGCTTCTTCTTTTGTCTCACCCTCCACTCTTACAGTATCTGCTTTTATGAGACTGAATTTTTATGGTACCCCTTTCATACACACATCAGGATGGTATCTTTCATATACACAGCAGACATTTTTAGCATGCAGAGACTGCAAATGATTGTTTGGGTGGAATAAAATAGTATGTGCTCTTGTAGGCCAGTTTAAGACGAAGAGAATAGACATTTGCAGTTACAGATCTGGAACCATATAGTCAGTTGGCATTAATACTAGCATTTCAGTCTTGCTTATGTTATTTAAATTTGAGCTTTTTGCTCAGTATCCACTGGGCACCGCTGGAAGAAGCAATGTGTGTTTCCTTGATCCTGAGGCAGGCAGAGCTGGTTTGGTCCCTACACTTACTTGAATACCAGGTCAGTTATGGATGACCCAAGAGGCTGTCCATAAGGTCTGTAGTTCCACCATCTTGCTGTAGTCGTGTCCTTGCAGCCATAACCCACAGAAGCTCTGTGGCAGCTGGATCCAGCACGTGAAGATCCAGCTGCTTTGCTACCCCTTTGTGTTGGCTGGACTGAGGTTTAGAGTTGAACCCTTGCTCCGTTGAAGGGTTTGAACGACAGTTACGCATTCTTTCAGCCTGCAGAAAAATGGGTTCACGCCCCACTTCCAACATGTTCATTTACTTTATTTAGTTGTGGCCAGTTGAATAATTTGCGCTAGGAAGGACGGTTTAAAATGCATATGTTCACTGTACATTCTGACTCAGCTGCAACTTAAAAAAAGCCAGTAATTTAAGCCATAGTTGTGAAAAACCCAGTAGAGGCCCACCAATCTTTTTGAAGAGGATAGAGAATAACGCTGAGAACATTCTAATGTCATTAAATACCATCTTGTCTCAAAAAAAAAAGAAAAAGAAAAAAAGGCATACAGCAGACCCAAAGAATTTTCAGGAAACCAAAAAAAAGGATACCAAGAACAGCAGTTAGTGGTGGATTTTTACCATAATCTCCATATAGAGAAAGACTAAAAAGATGATGATGATGTAAACTTCAGAAAGAAGAAAGGCAAGAAGACCTGTGGCTATGTAAATTGATCATGTAAGATGATGAATTATGCAGGGCTTTGTCATATAACAAGAGTGACTCAAGCAGTTTGTGCAACATTTAGTCTCTGGAATGCCTGGCTGCTTGATGTTATCGACTCTTCATTAGGAAACCATGTAAGATTTAGGCAAACAAATAAAGCACTAGCTGTTCACAAATAATTATCTGGTTATGTGTAGGGTAAACCATCAGGACTGTCAGTTCTTATGTACTTCATAGGGCATGCTGATAACCAGCTGGGGTGAAAGAATTTCCCTCCTCATTGCATGACTAGAATTAATACTGTATTATACTATACTATTACTAATATATATTATAATACTATATACTATTATTAGACGCATTGGTGAAGTTTCCAGCTTCCTCTGAAACACTTGCAGGAAACACAGAGGAAAGAGGAAGGGGGAGATGGAGTGACCATTAACCTAGTTGGTCTAGCAATTCCAGCTACATATATATATAGTTATCTCTAAACTACAGTGCATGTCATTCACATGTAACTTTTTTGTTATACTTGATTCACTTCCACTTACTAGGCCCAAATCAGCTTTTTACTGCTCTTTTTAATCCAGAAAGGTATATAGAAACAATGTGTCTTGGCATCCAAGGGGAAGCATCTTTCCTTAGAGTTACTGCTATGACTTTGCTAGTCTAGAGATTGTAATTGCCTGAAATGACAGCACTGGACTCGCCTGAGACCCCAGCTGTAGCCACTCGGTCATCTCCTGGCACCTATCGGATATTCATGCCTGTATCTTCTATCACGTTTTCTCTGGATTCATTCATGTTCCTGTTCTGTCCTTCCCCATTCTGTCCAAAGAGGTTTTGCTGTAAGAGCCAAAGCGCGAATATTTCTGATCTGCTAAGCCAAAGTTTTCTTGGTCTCATATGAACTTTCTCCCCAAGAGTCCTTTCTTTGACAGCAGTCAGCTTACTAATAGACCCTCCCATTTATCTAATCTGTCTTTCCATACACACACAACACATTCTTCACCATACTAATGACCATTGTGTTGTTATTTGACCTTGCCTCTGCTAGGCAGGCTCAATCTCAGCGACACCTCCTCCTGACCACACTTCCCAGTGCTGCCCAGTGGCACTGAACTCCTGGCTGGAGGCCGAACAGAACGAAGTGCTCATCCACGTGAGTCCCAGCTCTAACAAACCAACAGCCAAACAGACAATACTGCCCCGTTTCTCTATGCTATATCATATGGCCACAATCCCTGGTTAGGCTTCTTCAGTGATGGGACCATTCCCATCTTTGGCTCCTGAAATATCCAGACGGACAGTGCTAATGATGTTAAAAGCTTTGGAATACGCTTTGGAGACAGCATTCTGGCTCAGACTTCACCCTGCTGATGTCAAGAGCAGAATCCTCACTGAAGAAGAATGAAGAGTTGATCTTTCAGCTCAAGAACCAAAACCTGAGATTCAAACTTCTACTCTTTGCATAGTAAGAGGAGGACAATTAGGTTACTCCATGGCTCCGGGGGTTTATTCTCTTCTAAGCAGTTTACATTCAGATATTATCTTACTGGGTTCCCAGTGAGGATCTGTAAATTCTTTCTTTGGAGACTGTTTAAACAGTGTTGCCCTTCAGACAGTGCGTATGGTCACCTGGATGCCATTACAATCTGGACAGTAATAGCCCCACATGATCATTACAAAATCAAAGTCCTGCTTGAAGAATGATGTATACTTTGAGCCTCAAATGGATTTGTATGAATTATGTTTTCCATAATTATTTTTCCTATTTTTAAAGTATTTTCTGTATTGCAATATCCAAGTATTGTAAAGTGTATCTATATTTGTATTGCTAGACGTAAGGTATGACACCCAGTTCTGGGTGAGAGCTACTTCTCGTTAATACCTTTCTGGAAGTGCTGCTAATCCCTGAGCAATATTCCAGTCACCTTCAAGTGCAACTCAGCCCGGGTAATGGCTAGTTCATGCCGCTGTTCAGTCCTGAGTAATATTTGTAAGACACTCGGTATCTCCTCCCTCTTCAGTCCCAGTTTCTTGTCTATTAGGGGAAAAACGGGTCAAAATAATCCTAGACCCTACACAGTTCATGTGGCCACTGAAAATCCCATTTTCCTGACAACCACTGATGCCAGATACCTGTTTCAAGGATATTGATTCTTTCTCTTCAGCACCTGAAGCTCTATGAGTATGCGCAGAAGTTGTTCGCCTGGAGAAATATCGTGTTTCTCCATATAAGAAACATCCACTTCAGGGCCAAGCGATGGGATTCCAAGCCCTTTGGCAGAAGTTACAAACCAACACTCCTTGACTTGGGGTGAGCCAAACGACACAGAACATTTAATCATAAAATTCTCTGTCGGAGGCACAGACTGCTAGATATCATTGTGTCAAGGCTAATGCAGCTGTCACGAGCCCAGTAAACAGGGGACTTCTTTTCCCAATTTTTAAGCTGCTCAGTAGTCTTTATGAAAAGAGAACAGTCACACCTGTTTATCAAAAGCAGTGCAACTCACGGTTCATTATTCCTTTTTTATTCCTTTTTTATTATTTCCTCCCATCCAATCAACTGCTTTTCTTTAATTCTTGAAACGGAACCAATATTTGCTGCTTAGTGCATCAAAAATACTCACTTCAGACAGTATTAAGAAAGTTTCACCAACAGAAGGGACCCTAAGGAACATGCATCTCTTTTGAAAGCTGGAATATAGTAACGAAGTGTTAGGGACAGTCGAACTGATATACAAATACGGCTTTTGTTGCTTTGGTTGCAATTATTGTTTCCTTAATTGGATGTCTTACAGCAGTACTGAACCTTCCACACCTGAGCTGTTCTCCCTGCACTGTCACTGTGGTTGTATCTCTGCTGACAGCCGGGGAGCGTTGTACGGTTTATGAGGTGCCCGAGAGTACAGACCCGTGAGACACCTGACGCTGTTTCTACCTCGACAGCATCCATTTCAGGACCCGCATCCCACCCCAGGCCCTGCCGGACGGTTCCTGACCTTTAAGATGTGCTGCCACGGCAAGGAGTCCCCGCATTCCTTAAGGGCAGTGAGAGATGCCTGGCTCAGCAGGGGTATCGGAGTTCAGTTGGAACAACTCTGCCCTCACGGTTCGCATCTCGAGGTCCTACCTTTGACACTTGAAGGGGTCTTTTCTGCTCTGAACCCCCCTGCAGGCGGAAGCCCCAGGGGGCACCTCCAGACAGGGTGATGAGCATTTCTTCTTCAGCTCCCATGATTGCTGCGCTTCGGATACTTTGTCTTCCCACCTCCAAAACAGACTCCAGTTCTTAGCAGGCGGTATTTTCCACTCCCATCTTCACAATTCACGCCACAATTCCCCGGTCCCCCCAAAAGGCCCTCTGCCCACTTTCTCCTTCAGGTTCACACAGACACAAGAGGAGAGTTGAGACTGTCAAGCCCAGCCTTCCCTGCTCTGCTGGACTCTCAGCTGCTGCTCTGCCTGTGATTAGACATTTGATTCTGCTCTTGGGAAGAGGCCAGAGTTGTCCCACACACGTGTCGTGTCAATCTCACCCTCTGCGCCCCCCCCAACGCCACGGATCTCTCACCGGAGCGTGGCTGAAAATAGCACACCTCCTGTCTCTCAGAGCTTTGTCGGACACTCTTCAAGCTGGAAGCATTTCAGTAAAAATTTCATTTCCACTTCCCATTCCAGATGCAAACCCTGCAGTCACCCAGCACTTGGGGTTCGTTAGGATGAGCTTCAGGCAAGGACATGATGCAGGCACAAACTGGTACAAGATCAGGTGACAGCACCCGACCCTGGGACACGGGACCAAACCAGCATGCAGGCAGCGTGATCTCCACCCGCGTCTGCTCTGTGCAGTGCGGGAGCACCGTCCGTCTGCCCTGAAACCCACGGGCAGGCTGCCGACACGACGCGCTCCCGCTGCAGCCCGCTGCTCCCCGACATCCCCAACAGCCACCCCTCACGTGAGACCCTGGGACCAGAATAGCCACGATTAGCGACGCAGATGGGATTGAAGCAGTCCTCTGCGGGGCACCGTGTACGTAGAGCCCCCGACGGCCAGGAGAGCGGTTTCGCACCCAGGGCCTTCGCCACCTCCTTGTCAGCACCACGGCAGACGAGTCCTCCTCGCCATCCCCAGCCACCTCGATGCCTGGGGGAAATAAAATCCACGTTCCCCCTTTTGCTACAGGGCTTGAAATGTGTTTTTTGGTTACAATCCTGAGGACAAACTTACGTCTTCCTTACTCTGCATGTGCTTGTCTCTCAGTGACTAACCGCTGTCTGACAGCCTCGGCGGTGCCGTTGGACGGAAACACC